CCATGTGCATCATGCAAGGAATCTCAACACACTGCAGCTTAGGAATATCTAAATGACTGAATAAGGAGGCATGGTGCTGGGGCAGGGGTTCAACGATCGGCTGCTACAGCAAAGGCAGGCACCTGGAGCTCAAGACCTGGGAACTTCTTCATGTACAGATGACAGCCTGGACACCCAGCAAGGCGCCCTAAGGTCAAAGGGCATCGCTAACAGAATGGACTGGAGTGCCGATGGCAACAAGAATTCCGTGAATATCAACGGAACCTTTATCAACAACCCTTGGTTGATACATCTCTGAAACATTCAAATACCACCATGCAGTGATTCATAAAGAGAATCTCAGTTAAGTTCAACAAAGATATCTTATCATTTCGAACAATTCCATTACTGGATATTGTGTTGTCTTCTAGTAAAAATAAAGTTGCGATAGAATCTAGGGGTGGGGGGAATACGTCAAAGTACATGCACAGTGAAATCAAACACATGTAGAGAAAAATCACAGTTAAGTTAGATATACCAAAGGGAAAGAGATACTTTATATGCGTATAGTTACAATTCGGTTCCAGGAAGAGCTTCTGTACTTCATGTGATAACTGATACATGACCAATTTAAATGACTGAAAACAAGAAAATGTGGTATTCTTTAAGACTTTTGACAAAAAATTTTAGTACAGAACAGGGCAAGAAAATTAACAAACAAAATCAACAGGGTGGAAAAAACCCGAATTCTACTAAAATATAAAACCAAAACCCAAACTCACTACCTTCACATGCCAACTCACAGCGCCCCTACAGGGCAAGATAGAACTGCCTCTTTCACAAGCTGGTTTCGAACTGCAAACCTGGAGGTTAGCAGCCCAATGCTGCCCCCACCAGAGGAGCTCTGGGCCAACGCTGCCCTAAGAGCCGAGATGGACGGCCTGAGGGTGTTAAAGGAACCTGGGTCAGTCATAAAAGCGATCTCCGGGGTGAGGTTTACAGGGGAGAAGCCCCCAAGTGGGGTGCTGCACCCCGAGTGGACAAGCCACAGCCCAGGGTCAGCAGCGGTCGGGAGAGAAACCGCGGGGGGGACAAACTCAGACATGCGGTCGGGGTCTCGGTGGTCAGTGGGGGGGACTGATGACCGCGCGACTGCCCCCCCCCCTTTCAGGAAAGGCCAGTCTGGGGCCCGGTCCTCTCCCGGCTGCGACCCCGCACCCACGGAGCGGACTCCAGGCCAGGACCCGCCCCCGGCTGGGCCTTTCCGGGGCGAGGAGGAGGGGCTGGGAGGGGATCTAAGCGGGGCAAGGGGTGCCCAGGGCCGAGCCAGAGGCCCGCGCCCGGCCCGGGGCGGGTTTAACGGGAAACGTCCCAGGGGTCACGGCGACCAACGGCGCGGCGGACGCGGCGCGGGCGCGGTAACGTCTGCCGGACGCCGAGCCCGGAGAGGCAGCGCGCGGGGCCGAAAGTACCACACTGAGGCGCACGTACCTCCGCGCCGGCTGCTGCCCTGCGTCGGGCGGAAATGACGTCACCAGAAAGGACCCGTCCTGCTCGGGGCTGTGGGGGCGGGGCCTGGAGAGGGGCGGGGCCGCGCCATGCAGAGGAGGCTGAGTCCCAGAGAGAGCAGAGACTGAGCTTGCTCAAGTAAAGGGGCGCCTCATCGCCACGTGCATCACGAGCTGGTGAGCGGTGTGTTAGGTGGGTGACCGCCCGCCACATCACAGCCCGCACATCCTCTGAGCCTCTTTATTTGGGGTGCATTCTCCTGGACATTTAGGGAGCCCTGGTGCGTAGTGTTTACGTGATGGGCTGCTATCTGCAAGGTCAGCAATTCCAAACTACCTCCTGCTGCGAAGGAGAAAGCCTAGGCTTTCTACTCCCTTACAGAATTACAGCCTCCAAAACTCACAGGGGGCTGTTCTACCTTGCCCTAGGGTCGCTATGAGTCGGCATCGACTTGATGGCAGGGAATGTTAGGAGTTACTTGATTTTTCATGAAGACAGACGGGAATGTTAGGAGTTACTTGATTTTTCAGAGGAAAGACACCTCACGTTTGCAGGATAAACAGCACACACATTGTCCCTTCTTCTAGAACTGCTAAAACCTTGTCCACAGGTTTCGGTGTGTTCGCTTCCTGTCATACCGTAGGTGATCAAGGCCAGGGATTCCAGCCCACCATCTACCCTGTGGCAGAAAGAATGGGCTGTCAGCACCCAGCAAGACATGCTAGCTCAGGAAAACTATATAGTTAGGGTCCTTATAAGTCAATATGGCCTGGATGCCAGTGGGCTTCAGTGGGTTTTGTGATGATTCATTAGTAAGCAGTGGGTCCTGTATCAGATGAAACATGCTCCACCCTGCACAGTAGTCAAAGGCAGTGACATTCTTCCTAAGGTAGCACCACTCACAACCCATTTTAGAAAGGGTTTCTAAACAAGCTGGTGATAGTTGCTCACAAAATGAGATTTGGGATATTGCTAAAGGTTCGTGGAACTGTGAAGGAAAAAGTACCCAAGCCTAATTGTGCAAGTGCGTGCTGTGCAGTACTGTCAGTCGAAAGTTAGGGCGTATAGAGGGTTCAGGGCAGAACACCCGCCTTTGGATGCGTTTCTGGCATTCACTTGGCAAAACACTGGATCCATTTTGTAGGAGCACCCATTATTCTTCCTCAGAACTCGTCCACAGCCAAAAGGACAAGGAAACCACAGTGGCTGTGTGGAGCACAAGGATCGATCGATCTACACTACCTTTGGATGGCTAGTACTTCAAGTAGCTGCAGTAGCATATATTGAATGGAAACGCCATGTTCCAGTCTACATGTTCATGTGGTCTGGAAACTGCTGAAGATATGTCTCCTCCTCAATCGCCTCAAGTGTTGTGCTTTAAAGCCACTTAGGAAAGATCCATGACTGTATATGGGCCATGTAGAGTCAGTCACTGGCTTACAAATGAGAAGAGAACTGGGACTCACTGGAGGACCAAAATTCAAACTGCTATCTCACCGTCTAGCCTAGAGAGAAGAGCAGCCCTGCCAACAGCAGTGCAAATCAGAGCAAGAATGACCTTCTTTCGGAGCCCAGAAACATCCAGTTCACCATCTAGAACAATGAATACAGTACATAACCGGGAGAGCAAGGCCTCCAGGGATTCTCCTCTGCTTCAGCCTCACCGGAGCTTATTTCCTACACAATCGATCGAAGTCGGTCTCAGTGCAGCCCACCTGATCTCTGGCCTCTGAGCCACAGACAGTGTCTAGTATCTGTCAGGTGCAGGATCCCAGCCCAGCAATCCAACATGCCTCCACAGCTTCCTCTTAGGCCCACCACATCAGCTTCACGGGCAGAGGGAACACCAGCTGAACCAATATCTCTCAGGGTGTGTCCACAGAAATTCTATCCCCGAGGCTGGGCACCTTGACAGATATCCATCTGGCCAGCAGAGGTTTCTCTATACTGTGACGCCAGCCTTCTTCTGCAAATACCCAAGAACAACAGGGACCACTGGGAGGTTCTTCAACTGTTAAAAAATAATCTGTCTCCAGGTGTGCCAGAAGGAACCTCAATGATTTTGAGTGTAAATACCAAATGAAGATACCCACACCATCCCTGACAGGCTAACCTACAAGTTGTAGCCACTAAAATCCACCTGAGGCTGAAGATCAGCACCCAATCCTAGCTGCTATGTATGAATGACAGGACCGAGCCTGGTAATGCACTTGCTTAGGCCTCAGACTGCTAAACCCAAAGTCAGCATGTGGAACCACCAGCAGAACCACCTGAGAAAGACTAGGCTTTCTACTTGTGGCAATTACATAACCTGTCAATTTGTGAAGGAGTGGAGTTTAGCCAGTTAATCAGGTCACAGTTTGATGACCTCATTTGGAGGCGGAACACAGAGAGACCCTCTGGGAGACATTCCTGTTGACAAGCCACATGGAGCTACGCTGATAGAGCCAGAGCCCTGGAGCTGGAGGAGCCATGTGGAGACCCACACCAGCGCTGAGATGCTCCCACCACCACTGGATCCACAAGTCTTTCCACTCACTGGCCTGTGGTCTTCCTGCTTTTGGTGTCATATGACTGTGTGAGACTAAAGAGGAATTTACAGACTAGTATCGACATATAGCGTAGTATCAGACCTATGGACTTGATCTGGAGTGGGCTGGGATGTTTTCTTAATGCAGCATTGCTCTTTCATATAAAATTCTCTCTTACATACATATGAGTAGCTATGAATTTCTCTAGTTTACCCAGACTCCCACACTACTCCCATGATTACACGCTCAGGAACCCACAGGGATGGTTTACTTTACCCTGTAGAGTTGCTATGAGTCAGCATTTACTCGATGACAGTGCGTTTGGTTTGGTTTGGAAGGTAAGCAAACCACCATGGCAATTTCTCAATGCAGTTCAACCTGGTGCACTCCAGACCTTAAAGTCATTGCCTCTAAAATAGCCAAAGAACTGAACCTTTGAAAGGAACTTTAGAAGTCACCTGCAGACGATAGCTGGCCCCAGCTACCTATAGGGTTTCCCAGGATGCTGGCTCTGCCTAGGATGGAGGATTTCTGTGTCAGGCCTCTGCAAACTGACATCTACTTTCCTCTCTTTCCTTCCAAGCACAGCCCCAGAAGTGTCCTTACCCTGCCCCAGGCCTCTGGACTTGGGGACTGGGCAGCTGTGCACTAGGCAGAGTTCAGCGCTGGGCAGCTGGTGCTTGAGGCCGCTCTGGGACTGCAGAGGGGAGGAGAAGGGACACTGAACTCCCTCCACACTCAAAACGCTGCCTTCCCTGCAGATTCACAGCTGGGCATTGTGTTCCAGAAGCTGTTTATACAAGGGGCATTTATTTGTCCCTCTCCTCAAGGGTCTGTGCCACCCCCACCCCCAACACCCACACAGACACACACAGTCCTCCTGCTTAGAAGAGAATCTGATCCATGAGAGTGAGTGGCAAGGAGACTCCAGGAACTAATGGCTCTTCCAGCCCCCAGGGATCTGATGAGATTACTCCACGCCCCAGATTTGTCTGAAAGACCCCATTCTCCTCGGTCTTCTCCTCACTGTTTACCTTCGCTTGGCATTGATCTGGGTCACAGCTACTTACCAGGGCAGTGACTAACTCACCTGACCCACTGCTAAATCTCTGCCTTGGCTTTCCTTTCTATGTATTCCTGATACCATCGCGCCCTCTGCTGGTAGGTGACTAAAAGCCAACCCAAACTCATGGACAATGACAGGTTAGAACCGCCCTCTGTGAGTTTCAGAAACTGTAATTGCTTATGAGAGGAGAAAGCCCGTCTTTCTCCCGGGGAAAGACTGGTGATTTCGAACTGCTGACCTTCCGATTAGCAGCCCGGCGTGTAAACATTATGCCACCAGGGCTTCCTGGCAGGTTAGAGGTCTGGTAAAATCACTTCTGTTTGCTTGGGCAGTTGGCTTGTAATGATCTTTGCAGTCCTTATTTTTCTGCTATTTATACGCTGGAGGAATTAGGGTCATGTATAGAAGTTTTCTGAAATTTGCCCTGACTGGAGTATTTTCTTATGAATTGGTTTATGTTTAATTGAAAGAAAAAAAGGTCAGAAGTAGTCATTTCTTCTCTATACAAAACTGGAGGCACTCCTGCTCTGTATCCCTGACTCCAGGCCTCCAGTTCCGATCAAGGGCTCCCTCTTCATCCTCTTCATGCTCTTGTTCCACGGAACTGGGCACATTCTCCTAGCGTTCCAGGACAGCATGGCTTGGCTCTCAGGGGTCGGAGCCACTTCACCCAAAATGCTCCATCCACCATTGTTTTTATGTTAGGTTTTATTACTATACATTGTCCTCTGCATACTGCTTTACTGTTTCCCAAAGGTTTTTATATGTTGATTTTTCATTCTCATTTGTTCTCAGGAATTTACATTTTTCATTCTTTATTTCTTTCATTACCCATTCATTTTTAAGCTTGTGTTGTTCAATTTCTATTTATTTGAATTCCCCCCTGATATTTCTATTTATTTATAATTCCATAGGTTTGTGATCTACGAGGATGCTGTGTAGTCTCAGTATGTGTCACAATTTCTGAAGGCTTATTCTGTGGTGTACTGTATGGTCTGTTCTGGAGAACGCTCCATGTGCAGTGGAGAAGAATGTGTATGGCGTTGTTGTTGTGTGTGTGTCTAGGAGGTCAATCTGGTGAATTGTGTAGCTTAGTTATTTGGTTTCTTTGTGGAGACTTTCTAGTTGGTCTGTTCTTCACACAGATTGGTTTCTTAAAGTCTCCTATGATTTTGGTATGTATCTCTGTCTTCAACTCTATAAGAGTTTGATTAATATCCAGAGTTTTTTTATTGGTGTGCTCAACCTTTCTACCCCTTTGGGGGGAAATTGGTATCTAAGGCTTTGTTTAATTGATGTTTCTCCATATAGTAGTAGACTCATACAGTATTTGCTCTTTTGTGATTGACTAACTTCACGCACATAATGGTTTCCAGGTCCTTCCATGTCATGTGGGTGTTCCATGCTT